GCTTTGGTTCGTCTTCAGGGCCAACCGTTTTCGATTGCAAACCGGTGACGTGACAGACATCGCTTGGTCCGTCTAACTTCGAACCATGCAGCTTCGCGAGTTGGTTCAAATTTTGGATTGAATTTCGGTTTGCTTTTATAACGTTGAAACATGACATCTTTCTTGACAGACCAAATTCAAAAGCTGTCAACCAAATTTTGTCATATCTGAACCAACCAGGCCGAACCTGGTTGCGAATCGAAAACGGCCATTGTTGCCACTGTATGTGAAGGTTTATTTAGCCACTGTATCCTTTTCAATCCATCCACCATATAGTGCCAATAAAAACGCTTCTCCATTCTCGAGCAATGAGTCGCTTCTATCCAGGAGAATGGTTCGTCTTTGATCCGTCTTGTATCGAGTATGAAGGGGGAAACCCAAATAACGAGTTAACTTGTTATATATGATCCAGTTGGATTTATTGGGGGGAAAGCAGTTTATCTATTTTTCTGTCGGATTTGGATGTAGTAGAAAAAAATTCAAAAAAATCACATCAGCCACTGGGTCGTTTCAATTTTAATAGATCGCAGCGAACGTGTTGGAAGTGGAATAGGCCTGGGCTGGGAATACCACGTTAAAAAAAAAAACGCGCCGGTCAGATCTACCTCCTCCTGGGTGGTGTGGAAACGAGTTGATAACCTATGTTTCCATTATTAACCTTTAGGTAGTTTAAATCAGAGATATCATCAATCAGAGATACTCCGCACACTTGCCGCTTCTCGAGCGTGATAGGACATTTCCTTGCGAGTGTGCATATCCGTAAAAAAAAAAAAAAAAATCAGAGATGTGCCGTAGACTATGAAATCTACTTTACGCGGTTTGTCTACTCGTTGTATTGTTTACATCCAATTTTTTCCATGTAGACTATGTAAACTATGTAGTCAATGTAGATAACAGAAAATTTGAAATTTGAGTAATTTTTTTGAAAGTTTGCATTGCATTAAATTCATATTGTATCAAATTAGACATTATCTGCGGTTTAATTAACTTTATAAAGCAAAAAACAAAACAAAGCAAAAACAGAAACATAACCTTAAAGTCCTGCCAACTGTCAAAAATTGTATACTTTACGCGTTGTCTACATATTTTACACGTTGTCTAATAGATTACATAGTTTACATTGTCTACGCGTGGTTTACACCAGACGTAGACAATCTTTGTTTACGCGTAGATGCCCATCTCTGGTTTCAATTTTAATAAATCGCGGCGAACGTATTTGAATTGTGGAATAGGCCTAGGCTGAGGATACCACGTTAAAAAAAAAACGCGCCGGTCAGCTCTGCCTCCTGGGTGGTGTGGAAACGAGTTGATAACCTATGTTTCCATTATTTACCTTTAGGTAGTTTAAATTATAGATAATGTGTAAAAAATGACATGTAAATACAGCTTATATGAGATATTGAAAAATTCATGCTAATGTTCGGTCCTGTAACTCGGAAACTATTTGCCTGATCAAAAAAGTTTAAATAATAGAAAAGTTTATTCTCTTAAACTTCTTCTTGAAACTTTTTTCCCTAAAACTTACAAGAACCAACTTATAGGCCAAAAACTGATTTTGACCGCCATTTTTTCAAGATGGCGGCGCGTGCGGCGGTAGCATGAGGTCGCAAACTTTTGTGCATGTTAGGGACTTATAAGTCTACCTTCCTGCCAAGTTTCAAAACTCCGCGACCTTTTGCACCAAAACCAAATTTTTATGTATCTAATGACTGGCCTAATAATCCCACAGACAAAATTCAAAACGAACACTCTGCGCAGCCGCAGCGATATGTTTCCTCTCACGTATTTTCGTGTTTAAACTGTGGTAGTTTACGCGTCCCGTACGTACATAGATCTACGTTTACGTCGACGCAGAACTTCCCGTAAGCGGTACTTGTTCAATCTCTCTAATATTAATTTAAACTTCCGTATGCTTTTTTGTTGGAAGAAGTAGGTAATGAATATTTTGATGTGACGTTGTCGGTCGGTGACGTGACGTTGTCGGTCCGTGACGTGACGTTGACTTTTTGTAAAATGCGAAGCGGTCTTAAGTCTTCAGTGGGCTTTTTCACTAATTTTTGGAATTGGCATAGGTGATTGGATAAAGCAACTAAAACCAGAATTTTCTGCACCCTTACTTTTGAAAAATTTGGAGTTTTTGTTGAGAAAATAAATGAAAAAAAAAAAACTCTCCAAATAAAAACAGGGAATTTATCCGCACTGCGTCACACAATGAACTATAACCAAAAACTGGAATGCTAACACATAAGGACGAACTTGAAGCCTAGTGCGGCTGCTGCGGAGGGGATATCTGTTTTTGTCGCACTCATTATGTTAAATGGCGAAAATTGCTTCCAACACGTATTCCAATTGATGAAACCTGTGAAGGGAAATATGACAAAACTTTCGAAAACATCATATGTCAGCGAGCAACAGAAAAAAACAACATTCCCCCTTGTGGCATCTATCTTTCATGGCTACATTTTTTTGGCAGATATGGCAATGTGTGCGCATTCCAGTTTTTAACTATAGTTCATTGGCGTCACAACTTGAATTTTGACAGTGTTGCCACTCATTGTCAGCACTGAAAATTTGTAATATATTCAATTCTGAAAAGTTGGCAAAATACCAAGAAAAATAGTTAAATTAATTATCTACTTACTGATTCAAGAATTCATAAAAAAAAATTGAATCATTATCATACACAATTTAAATTTATTTTTCGTAATCAGTTTTATTTATTTTTTTTTCACGACGCACTACATTTAGTCACAACTGGCAACAGCGCAATTAAAGCTTTGAGCCAGCGGCCACCGGAACAGCTGTTCGTGAGGTGTTGATGGAGTCTTCTTCAATTTGATTGGTAGAAGATGCTCATATCTCTTATACGTCATCGTTTGGCGCGTTTCAAGGATTTTAAATTTTTCCACTTTTGAAGTGCCTGTAGAAAAGTCATTTAAGCTCGTAGATCATTTGAGATTTTATGCTTAAATTTTAGTGGAATAGCCTAATCTTTTTCGAGTTGGAATGGCAAATTGCCAAACAAATCGCACAATACCATTTATGATTACTGAAAGTATTTCTCCAAAATCATAAAAGGTAGGTTTCTGAAATGAGCTTACCAAATTCATTACCTATCGGAGGCTTCTCGAAATTGGGCCTTTTCGGAAACGCTGATCCGATTAACCCGATCACCATCTGTTTGTTTCTTTAACTTTCTTTAATAAACACTTTTGAAAAAAGACAAAGTACATCAGCTGGTGATCGGGTTAATGTTAATCGGATCAGGGTTTCCGACAAAGCATATTGAAAGTTTTCTATGTATGGAGGTATACGAACGATAATAGCAGAAACTTAGATACTTTTTGCATAAGTTGTGCTGCGAATTGCTTATTAGATTTTTCTTGGCATACAGTTTTTTTAGTCGTTGACAACATTTTGGAAGCATCTTCCTCGCTCGTATCATGTTCGTCAAGGAAGGGAATGTCATCAAAATGGTATGTTTTGTTAATATATTGTTGATTTTTTTGATTGGATAATCAAAAGTTTAGGCTCTACCTCTATTCAGCTATATTCAGCTTATACAATTATGCACCTGTTTGCTGATTATTCGACTTTTCATTTTTGACTTAATTAAACAATTATAAATAAAATATGTTTTGGTTTTTTTAATAACTTAAACTTTAAATTATTTCTCAAAGCGCTTTTCACGTGGCATAAAATTCCACAGAAAAGTTGTAAATTGAGTGATAATGAAGTTTAGATTCTTAATAGGTATCAGATATAAAAAAAAAAAACATTTATATAGAAAAAGTAAATTCTAGACTCACCTCAACCACCAAACAATACAACTTATTTGTAAACTGTTTCCAAACCGTTATTTATCACTAATTGAGAACAATCTACCTTTCCATGCATTATTTCAAAACTATTAAAAAGAGTATAACTGAAAAAAAAAGACAGGGAATGAAAGGCGAGTGACAATTTTATCTTTTGATAACGTTTGTGATTATAAATTCTCCGTGTAAACACAGGATTTTACAGCCGACATATTTTTGTAAGGCTTTATTTATTATGTTTATTGCGTGCTAAATTGGTCGATTGGCTTGAAATTTTATAACATATCTGTCTTTTCTGGAGGGTAATAGTTGAGGGTTGTAAAGTATTGTATTGATATAGGCTGTTTGTTTTGGAATTCAGCTTCACTTAATCGGCAGGTTGCCTGAGTTGCCGACCAACAAATTAAATCACCTTGATTTTGGGAAAACTTCAAACATCACTAGATTTTTCAGTAATGTGAAACACATTTTCTGTTACCAGACTTGAGTCATAAGAAATAATATTGCCACAATAAAATTCGTAGAATTGGCGCGATTCAGACGTAAACAACTGATCTCTCAGAATCTGGCCGGGGTCTCGATGGAATTTCGTGTCAATATTTTGGCTAATACTGCACAGTTATTAAATAGCGTTACGATTTGCCATTGTGCTTTCTCTCAGCCCCATGCTCATGCTCCTAATGAGAGCAAATGCTCATTTATTCTTAAAGCAACTGCTATGGGCACATTGCGTTACGTTTCTTCGATCAGAAATAGAAAAAGTCCAACACATCCTAAAATCTTCGTGAGAAAAATAAAACTAGCAGCAGTTAAAAGAGTAGGTCAAGATAAAATTGACTTAAAAGTCGCATATTGGAGAACCATCAAGTTGATTAATTGTTATTATTTTCAACTTGACGGGTATGTGGTAAACAGCTATTTTAAAGAAACAACAAGTAAATCTACAAAAAGTTACAGTTTGGTGCATACTTATGCCCATGGATTCGTTTCAAGACTAGAAAAAAATACAACATTTTTATCCAATTCGCAAATTTATTATACAAGTCACTGAGTATTTGGATTCGTTAATACTAAATCTGAAAAATTGGTCATGCATAATTAGGTAGGTACCTACCTTTGTGTTCTTATCAGTATGTGTGGACTAATCTGCCTGATAAACATAACGACGCTGATAACATTATATTTTGTCAGTGCTTTATTAAAATTCAAGCCAGTGCTAAGTAAAAAATAAGAAAAAGTGTTCCTAAAACAATTCCCAAAATGGTTATCCAGAAAGACTTGGATTTCGGCATGAAATGCATCAAGTACATGCTATGCGTCGCCAATCTAATGTTTGTGGTAAGGATTTGATTTATTCAATGTAACCTTGACTTAATTGATATCTTTATGACAAATCATATTGATCTAGTAGGTGAGTGTTTTATGGCCGTTTTCACCAACTAATTTAGAGGAGCCTTAACGATAAGTATTCTTTGAACTGACATTTCTCCATGAAAGACTGTCATTTCAAGGAATACTTATCGTTAAGGCTTCCTAAAATAGTTGGTGGACATGACATTTAAACCAAAAGCTTCAAAGTTCAAGTGATTGAGTTTTCCTGAAAAAAATAGTTAAGTAATTATGGAAACCGCTGGGCTGTTATAATAGACTTTCTGATATCTATTGGATAGACTGGAATTGTCCCGTGGCCCCCACCTCTCCCGAAAATGATATACAATAAGGTAGCATCATCATATGAATATGAATATGATGATAGTGTATGATCCGATAATAATATACAAAAACGAAAACAAAATAGACAGCGTTGCCGTCGGCGTCGCTGCGGTTTCCTATGTGGAACCTAAGAATTTTTGACGTTTTTTGACAGTGTTGCCGAAACTGTACTTTTTGGGAAGTTTCTATCCAAATATGCGAGTATTTTGAAGTAAATTTACTCGGTTATCTTGAATGATTCACTATGTATAGGTATTTTGCAGTACCTACCTAGTAAAAGACTTGCAACAGTGTGATGTAGCAGCGAAGTTTTGATTTTTTTTTTTTATAACATTTTGATTTATTATTTGGGAAGGAACGTTTTCAACCACTCTCTTTGTCGCCATTTTGCATATTAAGATGGGTTTCTAGATTTCTCGCGGAAAGCAAGCGTTTCTGGACCCATCTACAGTGTGGCGTGAAATAAAGGAGTACTTACATTTTAATTAAAAATTACTCTCTTGTTTTTGGGCCGATTTACTTTCTTTTCAAAGGAATAATAACCCCATATATTCACAATAAGATGGCAAGATTAGATAAGTGATAGATTTAAACGACCGGACTTTTCCCGAGACTCTCTAACAGTGCATTGGAGCTCGTTGCAAATGAAACCTGTGAATTATCCAGAATACTCCAGTAAAAATAAAATTCTAAGAATTTCTTGGAAATAAATAATAGGTATAAAGTTCGCCACACGGAAGATAAAGGAAGACGCCCAAAGGAGGAGAGGAAGCAAATTTACTGAAACGATCGAGAAATTATAAATAGCCTGCTGACTAGACAAAGACAACAAATAATGCAAAGGAGTTGGGTTTGTTCACGTGTAGGACGGTCACATTATTTCGGTCCCTTATCTTTCATGTTGAGGATTTTACATTTTAACAAATAACACAACTAAGAAAAACAGCTAAATAATCTATAATTTAGAGCAAAATATTATGAATGTTGCTTCCATGATTGTTTACTTCTCAAGTATTCGTCTGCGCCACAAATTGATAGCAGGTCAGTTAAGTTAGCCCCCCCACTAAAAATTTTTAGTTGAAAAGTAATCTATAATTTTGCTCTTATTTTGCTCCATTTTGCTCCATAAATTTTAAATTTTGCTCCATTACGCTTTAGAGACTATAACGATTTTAAGGTGAGGGGGGGGGGCTAACTTAATGGTAGCCCCCCACCACTTTTTTCCCGTTTCTGACTGTGCATTCTTGTTCCACTAATTTTGCTCCGTTATTGAAAAATTTTACTCCACAACCGTTCCGAAGTTACAGAAGTTTGAAAAATATTAATCAGCCCCCCCCACCACTTTTTTTTCCTATGTGACAATGGATTCTTATACTACTAATTTTGCTCCATTTTGCTCCGGTATTGAAAAATTTTGCTCCACAACCGTTCCGTAGTTACAGTGGTTTGAAAAATAATAATCAGCCCCCCCCCCCACCACTATTTTTTCCTATCTGACAATGGATTCTTATACTACTAATTTTGCTCTATTTTGCTCCGTTATTGGAAAATTTTGCTCCGCAACTGTTCCGTAGTTACAGAGGTTTGAAAAATATCAATCAGCCCCCCCACCACTTTTTTTCCCTATCTGACGATGGATTCTTATACTACTAATTTTGCTCCATTTTGCTCCGTTATTGAAAAATTTTGCTCCACAACCGTTCCGTAGTTACGGAGGTTTAAAAAATATCAATCAGCCCCCCCACCACTTTTTTCCATATTTGACTGTGGATTCTTGCTCCATTTTGCTCCGTTATTGAATTGTTTTTTTCCGCAACCGTTCCGTAGTTACAGAGGTTTGAAAAATTTTAATCAGCCCCCCCCCACCACTTTTTTTCCCTATCTGACAATGGATTCTTAAACTACTAATTTTGCTCCATATTGCTCCGTTATTGAAAAATTTTGCTCCATAACCGTTTTATAGTTACAGAGTTTTGAAAAATATTGATCAGCCCCCCCCCCCACTACTTTTTTCCCCTATCTGACTGTGGATTCTTATACTAATAATTTTGCTCCATTTTGCTCCGCTATTGGAATTTTTTTCTCGAAAACCGTTTCGTAGTTACAGAGGTTTCAAAAATATAATTCAGCCCCCCCTCCCACTACTTTTTCTACCTATCTGACTAGTCCATAATACCACTACTAATTTTGCTCCATTCTGCTCCGATATTGAAAAATTTTGTTACGAAACCTTTCCGTAGTTACAGAGGTTTGAAATAGTATATTTCTTAACTAGTGCGGAAAGTACCTTTACAGGTATCTTTACAGATTCAACTATGACATTTATCAAATCACAAAAACCAGATGTGTCATGGATTTATAACCTAGTCCATAACACCACTAGTTGTGTTATAGACTCATAACCTAATTCCTAACACCACTAGTTCTGTTAGAAAGATTTTTTCAGGTAATGACCAACGTGAATACAGGGACACTACGGTCCCTGTTTGGGAATCGGCCCACTGAGCAGTGGACTCAGGCTTCCCGTGCCAATCCTTGACGCGTTTCGTCCTTGTTAGGACTCATCAGAAGGACATAGGCTAAAGCTCCCTGTCCAAGCAAAATTGAACTTCGTTGACCAGTCAGAAACAACTACTCCTAGGGCAAATACCCCTACCGCTGAGCTTTCGTTGGCAATGGAAATTGTTAGAAAGATTTTTTCAGGTAATGACCAACGTGAATACAGGGACACTACGGTCCCTGTGTACTAGAAAAATGGTCATGTAAAAACGTCATAACAAAACGCTTGTAGATAAATTATTTTATCTACAAGCGTTTGGTTGTTATAACCATTTTTCTAGTATTTCATTTATGTTATGAGACTCATAACAAAACTAGTGCTGTTATGGACTAGGTTATGAGTCTATAATACAACTAGTGACTGGTGGTGTTATGGACTAGGTTATGAATCTATAACACAACTGGTTTTTGTGATTTGACAAAAATGTCATAGCCAAACCTGTGAAGGGAAAATGGAGGTAGACAACTACTAATGAACGAAAATTGAAAAAACATTTTCCTATTTTTCGCTTTGTATATAAAACGTTGTACATCACACGTGCGTTCAAGCATGACTACAAAACTCGTGTGATTAGAACGACTCGGGTGGCAGGCTACGACCTAATATTTCACACTCGTTATTGTAATCATGTTCATAAACGCACTTGTGATGTAAATAACTATAAGACTGTGAGCTAGGGACTGTTTAGTGGAGTCATTTTTTTTTTGTCTGGCATTTTGAGGGCTGAATGTGGCTTGTTAGCTGATAAGAATATGGGTGATTTTATTGCCTGCCACCCGTTCGAAAATTTGGAGAAGAAAAAAATTGATTTACATGAAGAATTTTTTTTAATGATCTCGAATTTTCTGGCTCTTAAATTAAAGATTGACATTGATCAATAATTCACCAATGAAAAATACCAGATGCTTTTCAATAGCTGAAAAAGTGGGGATGAGTGTCAACTTTCAAGAGGAAAAAAAAAAACCTTCCGCGTTTACTTTTTGTCTAGAAATCGAGAGAATAAAAAGTTTTGTTGTGAAAATAACGCTGAAAAATCGCCAGATGGTAATCATAGTTCGAACTCGAGCAAATCCGCAAAACATTCTGTGGATATTTCGAACAAGAAGCAGGCATTGAAACCACTACTTATATTCTCATCAGCTAAACTAGCCACATGATGATTCCACTAAACAGGCCCTATCTCAGGGTCTATATTAATATTAGTGAGGTCGTAGATATTTCTCTCTACTAGCTTTTGATGATTTTTTATCGATGGACGTTGTTTCCAGCGACATTTTCCTTATAGACCGTCAGATAGTGACATATTTAGGTGCCCCATTTTCGCATACAAGCCTCGAAGAGGGTTGAAAAGTACATCGATTTTGAGTAGGATGAAAGTATTTTCACTAGTGGCTCCTGGGGATAACATATGCCAAAATTCGATTTTACTTATGTTATCCTGAAATGTACTTTCCCATTCGCGACACCCAAGCCAATATGTTTTCTTGCTACCAACTTTTTAGATTTTCATCCTTCCGATGGGCTTGTGTGGAAAAATCGCCCAAAATCTCGATTTTTCCTTACAACATTAGGCCTTTATTTCAAACCTTTAGCCACCTGCAACACCCCCCTCTTTGTTTTCACAAAGCCAGGATTTATTATTTAATCTTTTGGTGAACACGGCTTGCGAGAAAATATGGGCACCAGGACGTCTTTCATTTCTGTTATGAAAAATCCAATTTTGCATATGTTATCCCCAGGAGCCACTCGTGAAAATACCTTCATCGTACTCAAAATCGATGTACTTTTCAACCCTCTTCGAGGCTTGTATGAGAAAATGGGGCACCTAAATATGTCACTATCTGACGGTCTATTATAGGTAATGTATCGTTTATTACTTTTTTTTTGACGTTGGGTTATAGTTTTTTTCTTAAGTTTTTAAAACAATCATGTGTTTACTGCGTTGATATTAGAAATACCTAATAATTTTTATCGCTGGAGAATAAGGACGAAATAGAAATACACTTCATTTTTCCATCCAAAGTAAGGACCAGGGACTACCTATGTTCACACAATATAAGAGCAT